TATTCCACGCAGCAGGAGGATGCTTACAGGGAGACTGATGGATACTGAACACATTCCAACAGAAAGGACATCATCCTGCACCTGTGGCTCTTGGAATGTGGTCCCAGAGGAGGGAGAGCATCACCGGGGACCCTGACAGAAATGTACATTCTCAGGCCCACGTCAGCCCCACGAGTCAGGACTTCCAGGGCAAACTCCAACAACCAGAGTTTTAACAAGGCCAACAAGTGATTTCAAGCCAGCTGAAGTTGGAGAACTCTTGCCCTTCAGGGAGGCCCACTACTTGATAAATCATCACACGCCACAAGGCTTCTAAGCAGCTTTTCAGTGCCTATTTATCTGAAACGCTGTCTGAAACCAGAAATTTGAGGGAAGACTCTGTTATGAAATAGAAAAAGAAAAAAGAAAAAAACCACAGATTTCTTAGAATAGCTCTTGCAGAGCGTAGTGAAATGCAGCAGATCGTGTTGTTTGACTTTTCCCTGTTCCCCACTATCCTGAGCTACTCCTTGGCCTCTACAGAACAGTTTGAGAACACAGAGTAAATGCCTGTCCCTTTATATTGGTCCCTGCGTTGGTACCCTTGACTCTAACAGAATAATTTCAACTGACCCCCTCGGTAGCAACTCCGTCTGAATGACTTACATGTCCCCTTGAGTCAACAGAAAGCTTTTTAATGGAAAAATCACTGAAGCATTTTTCTGCTACAGATTTCCTATATTTGATATTTGCATCCTATATTTGGTATTTGCATTAAACGCTCTACTTTATATAGATGTTATCTGTCACCATCCCTCCTGCCAGTCCCTTTCTCAGTGTCTCAGAAGTCTTCCTAAGCCCACCCTTACAAACTAAATCTTAACCCAAAACTTCTCCCTTACTATTACTTTCCAGCTTTCTCTCCTCACACCAAACGTCACTGCCACAACTTGGTTATTCTGCTTGCAAATCTCCAGTAGCCTTGGCATCTTCCACCATGTAATCCCTGTGGACAAAAATCTCTTTTATTTTTACTTCCTCGCCTCCTTTAGTCCAGCTTATTTTTTTTAAGATTTTTTTTTTTTCTCTTTTCCGGTACCGGGAATTGAACTCATGACTTTGTGCTTGCCAGGCAGGTGCTGTGCCGCTGAGCTAAATCCCCAGCCCCTAGCTTATTTTTTTTAATTCTCTTGATTTCCCTGTTGCCTCCTGTGAAGATCTTGCCCCTTTTCTCATTTTACTCCTCTCCTGGAAAGCTATTTCCTTCAGGAGGGATTTCCAAGGGATGAAAAATTTATACCAGATATAAAGCAAAGAATACCACAAGTTTTCTTATTTAACCCTCACACTGACAAACCATCCCTATTTTCACATTTAGCAAACTGAGGCTTAGACAGATTAAGTAACTCGGCCAAGGTTACAAGTAGGATTTTAATCCAAATCCTTCTGTCTTCAAAGCCAAACTTAACCATCCTACGCTACTGTACCCAGCAGTCTGACTCAGATACATGCAGGAAGTGGTTTCCTAAACCATGCAAAAAATATGAGCAAAAAGACCCCTCTGAATAGTTCTATTTTTGGTGGGTTTGGTCTTTTTTTTTTTTTTTTTGGTAAAGCCTCTTGAAATTCTTTATTGTATCTAAAATAGCATGGTAAAAACATCTCAAATAATACATAGCTTATATGTAAAATATAGAATATCTCCGATACTTTCCCCTTATGTGGTAGCACACCAGTATACGCAAGAGTAAGTATAGCTGATGGGCCAAGGGAGGAAGTAGTTTGGGCAGGGACATCATTGGTCAAGCAGTAACCTTCAAAGACCAGGTCAATGTCCATTTTAGTCAGAATACAGTATTAAGAGGGTTTTATGAAACTTGAATTTGCCTATTTTATTTTGCATTCCTGATCATTTCATCCACAGCCTGACTTCTCAGTCATGGTTCTAGTGCTATAAAAGTACAAGGACTGCCTACCCAAGATGAAATTTTCACCAGAAAGAAAGCTTAAAAAAAAGTGTGTTTGATTTCAGAAGTATGTAGTAATTTTAAGAAAGTACCAGAAATACTTTCAAAACCAACAGCTTTACAACATCCTGCATATAGGAGCAAACATCCACTCAGGCCATTAGTCAAATTCTGCTTAGTAATTTGCTTCTCACCTACCTTTTCATCTCAGGATGTCAGTAAGCATCTGACTTCTTTACCTAATGATCTGTTGCTAGCCTACTTTTAAGTCAGCTGGTTTCCTGAGTCCCATGATTTCTATCATTTCAGCACCATGTTATTGTGTCCTTACACAAGCAATCTCTCAGTTAAGAAAAATAAAACATCAGTTGCCGGGCTTACAAAGTGAAAAGGGAGATTCTTTCCCAAATCCCTTTTTGCTTAAAAAAATTAAATGTGTAAGACCACGCACAGGCACTTTCCAAAAAGCAAAAAATGAAGCCAAACTACAAAATGACTCCATAGGTACAGAAGGTAACTGATTTGGGGGGATCTTGTCTGGTCACCTTTAGCATGAGCCACCGGTCTTTGGCGCTACTTCCTTTGCTCTCAGCCCACAGAGATCCCGAGGGGAAAGTGCTTGTACAATTCGGGGTTGAAGAGATCTGTGAAATTACAGGCACTGAACAGAGCAGCTGCTTTCAAAACCACATTCTCACTCCAGCTGTAGGCAGCTACCTAGGTTGCCTTGTACCTAGGCCTGTGTTATACTGCTGGGAAAACAGCAACAAATAGTTGGCTGGCATCCTGGGCCTAGTTCACACTAGTTTTATGTTAACTATTCCAGGACATCAGCACAGTTGAAAAAAGTAAAGAACAAAACACATTCTCCAGGATCATACGGAACACAGGTCTCTTCTTGCTCCTGGTTTAAGTAGTCCTGTATTAGGAAATCACTTCATGCTTTAGATGATGCATCTTTAGTGACTAAGCCCTGGTGAAGTGGTCATACTGAAATGGTATAATTCCTGAGTGAATGCAGGTGAACCACACCCCATGGTTGGACACTAAAAAGGTCCCTCTGGACCGTCTGGACTTGGTCCTTCTGTACTGCTGGTAGAAGGAGCAATGTACAGTTGGTAAGCGATAGTGCACATTTTCCAGTTGATCACCATCATCCACATGAGCATTAGCGCTAGAGGTGCTCAGTAACACCTTCATCAACTGAACCTATGCAGAAGACTGTGGACTAATCAAAAGGTCCTCTTGGACTTGCTTACTTCCTGGTACTGTCTGTTGATCACTTAGTGAACTCTGAGATGCACTGACAGCCTGGGACACTTCCTCGTGGGCCTCTTCATCACTTAACCTTTCTGCTTTGACTTGAACAGAGGCAAGGCAGCTTTTGTGCTCTCACAGGTCATACAGTCAGTTCTACCTGCTTCAGATGGGCCAGGTGATTCTACAATCCAGGTGTTCTCTGCCTGTTTAGCTTTCTCAGGCTGAATCCTTTGATCAATTCCAGAAGGAAAAGTCCAAGGAAAAGCTAAAGAAGACTCAACTGGTTGATTTTGATTTTCTGTGTAGGGAGCTGAAGAACTCAATATATGCAGAGAACTTGTTTGTCTGCTACCCTTTCCGGGACTCTCAGGAGACAGGGCAATGTAGCTTTTACGATATCTCTGGGATTCTCAGCACACAGGAATGGTTCTTTCCCCCACACTGCACTCTGAAGATACTGAAGAAATGCTCCCATCTCGAGAAGTAAAACTGCAGTTAGAATTATTTTCTTGCCCAGCATCTAGACTCTTTTCTGGCTGGTTACTGGGTGTATTCCATAAAATACTTGGTTTCATGAACTCTGCACAGTGCTAGCAAACTTGCATATAGCTGGCTGCAGCTAGAACATCAATATTTTCTGTGTTAATTGACAGAGTGGCCATGTAAGCATATTCTAAAAGAAATATAAAGCCACTTACTGTCACATGATGCAGATCCACTACACTCTTATTCCCATCCTATTTGGCCTACAAGCTTGGTGCAAAAGAAATCACTGCAAGCTGCTGGTACTACCTATGTGCCGGGACGATTTTGTCCTGGACACAAATAGTGACATCACAAAAATGCGCATCATTTCATAGCATATTTAGTTTTCCAATCATTTCCTAACTGTGGGAAGAAGAGCTATGAGGGAATGTTTTCACATCTTTTCCTTCCTCTTCTGCAGTTGTCAATGTTAATCCTCTTAAAGGATCCAAACAAATCAGAAAGGTCTTTGATTGGGATCAGGTGGTTCAGGGAGGAGGAAACATGTCTTCAGACTAAAGGAAGGTCATAATCCAGGGACCACGTTCGAGCTGCGCGCCCGGCCTGAGGGGAGGAGCGAGGGGGCCCAGGGAGCCCCGCGCAGCTGCAGTTGAAGGACGTTGGCCGAGGGCGGGCAGTGGTTTGGGGAGCCGGTAGGGAACAGGTGGTTACGGCAGCCCTCTCCCCAAGCAGCCCATCAGCCTAGGACCTTTTTTGGGGCGTGAGGTTGATGAAAGTTTCCCAGTGTGAGCTGAGTAGCTGCCCACCTCAAAAGATTTCCAAATCGACCGCAAGAGCTCCTTAAGGACCAGACCATATCCAACAATCAAGGGGAGGCAATGACTCCTAAGGAGAAGCCTTCGCTTCTGCACAGCACAACCACTTTGGGGGCACAAAGACGTCTATGTGCCAAGAGGAGATGCTCCAGGGCGCCCACCAGCGTGTGGAGCCAGCCCCCACCTCTTCTTCCACGAGGAGGGGGTGTGTGAGCACATCTTCTCCGGTCTGTGTGACAGAAAAAGAGGCGGGCACCCATTTCGCCGTCCACCCCGGCCTGGCGGCTCCCCGCTCGCCCTCCCTGCCCGGCGCTGAAAGGCTGTCCCTCGTCCTCTCCCAGCTTGGCTTCCATCCCCCTCTCTCACTCCTCAGTGCCCTCCAGCCCCTCTCTGCATCCCTCGCCCCCTGTCCTCTCTGCCCCTGTAACCCGCCTCTCTTTTCTTCTGGCTCGGCTCTTCTCCACCCAGCTAGCCGCCGCCCAACCCGCGGCACCTTGAGCGTCACGTCGCACAGCTTGCCCTGCCGTCGGATCTCCTCCATGACGCCGTAGCCGCGACTAGGCAACTCGGACACGGAGAAGTGCACCAGGTCCTCAAGCTCCTCCGCGCCGTCCTCCACCATCTTCCCCGGCCGCCGCGACTGCGCAGGCCTGGCCGGCGGGCTCCACACTGATCAGGGCGGGGCAAGGGCGCACGCTGACTGCACCTCAGAGCGCGGAGCCGGAATCGGATGGGCCCGTGCGGCAGCCGTAGTCGCAAACTCTTTTGCGCCGGAAGCCCAGCTGCCCCGCTTCCTGGTTCAACCACAGCCTTCGTTTCCCCGCTCCCATGGCCTCGGCTTTGTGCATACACCTGCTGCAGTCACTTTAGATTAATGGGTCCCATCTGCTGTCTTCCGATTCGCCCCTGACCTTACTCGTACCACTGAAAGAGGGCTTTGGATTTCATTTCCGCCACACTCCAAGACACTTCCGGAATCCCGGAAGCGACCTGTTACCATGGCGACTGTGTACACAGCCTGGGAACCCCGCCTGGGGTGCCCCGGTCTCGTGCAGAGTTTGGGTTGCTGCAGTTGCAGCTGTCGCGTTCGAAAAGTGCCTCTGCCTCGCGAGCGGTGAGCAGGGGTCACGCGCGGGTGAGATTAAGGCGAAGGGATACCCGATGGTGTGTGCTTCGGCGCCGCTGGCAGTGGCTGGTGTCCTAGGGCGCTGTACGCGGGAGTGTTCGGCTTAGTTTACTCGTTTGTGAAACCCAGGCAGAGGAAGGCGAGGCATCACAGGGTCCCTTTCAGCCTCACAGTGACTTGGGGTTGTCACAGCTAATGTTCCCTGGCCTCACGAGGGTTCCGCGAGGGTGCCACGTAGCGCCAAAGACACAGGTGGTGTGAGCGGAGTGCCAGAGGTCGTCTGGACTCTTCTTCACTCGTCAGTTTTCGAACTGGAGGGGACTTCAGGATCATCAAGCAGAGGCCGCCACTTTACAGATGATGAAGCCGCTTCAGAAAGGGACAGGAATGGGCTCAAGGCCCCCTGCCGCGCACACTCCACACAGGGCTCCCGCTCTTTAGGTGAGGAAAAAGAGAAAACCTGCTTTTGCCCAGACGCCAGGCTTGTGTTTAGCCCAAGGCCGGTGCAGTCGGACCCTGTATTTTGGGTTCAGATGCTGCTGCTACAGCTGCCTCCGCCTCTCCCTGGTCCCACTAGACACTGTCCGGCTCTGGTCGAGCCTTCAGGGATGCTTGGAGGACATGCTGTCCATTCCCACTCCTAAAACAAGTGGGGAAACAGTGAGCCTCAGCATGGAGATCTCCTGGTGGCCACTTACTCACTTTATAACAGCAGAATATTAAGGATGGTCAGAGGGGTGTTTCCCACAGCGTCCTGAGGAAGAGAACACCGTTAAAAGGGAGAGCGCAGTGAGGAGCTGAACATGGCTTTGTAAACCTGGAAACCAAGTGCTCTCCCTGGCAGAAGGGCTGTGGGCTAAGGGGTTGGAGGTGGAGGTGGGGGAGGGACATCACATACCCCTTGGGGTTCTCTCAGTAGTGAGTGAAGACGAACACACATGTGGAGACTCAGCCGCCCTGTGACTTCCAGCCGTGACCATCACCACCAACCACCATTTCACAAACACCCGCGCTGTCCCAGCACTGTTCTGGGTATTGTGGGGGGATTCAAAAGAGAAGGCGCAGAGTTTGCCCTCAGGCTGCTCACCAGTCGTTTGGGTTTGAGAGCTGAAGCCCACACAAATGAAGCGGCATAAAAATGGTAACAAGCAGAATCTCAGTAAGTTTGTACAATGGCATGGGGTCCCAAATGTCCGTGTATCCAGAGGCTGCTAAGCAACAGGTCACGGGAAAGGCTTATTGCATGAGAGTGCAGCTCCTGGCATGCTTGGAGCTGTGGCGTGAGTGTGAAGAGAACCTTGGGAAGCGCAGATGGGGTGGGTGACTGCATGTGCATGTTGGCAGGTTCGGGGCAGAGAAGGGGCAGGCTGTGGGGGCTGCTCTGACTTGGCCTGTGCTACCCTGTGCTGTTCAGAGAGGGAGACCTGAGCATCTTCTCCCAGAGCTCCCCTGCTTCATCATGGTCCCATCAGAATTTCCGGGCCCAGGGATTGGCCCTTGGTGCTGGCGTGGCAGATGGTCCTGGTGTGGGAGTTTGAGAAATTGGGTATATGTTTGAGTCAAAACACAGTTCCCTCTTCCCTCAGCTTCCTCGTAGCATAAATCAAACTGCAGTTGGTAATAAGATACTTTCTTCATTTCTCATTTTGGGGCTTGTGTCAGAGCTATTTGTAGCTTGTAATTCCTAGAGCTCAGTTTTGCAGACAAAAAAATGTTAAGGCTTAAATTGGGTAAGCCACTATTTATTTACCCCAGTGTCTTTTAGACTAATTTTATTTTTTTGGTTTTTGAGACAGGGTCTCACTTACGTAATTCATGCTGACCTCTAACTCACTACATAGCCCAGGCTGGCCTTGAGCGCGAGGCAATTCTGCTCCAACCTTCCAAGCGCTGGGATTACAGGGGTGCACCACCATACTTGGCCAGATTAATTTTCTAAGAATAAAAAATCCTAGATGCTATATCCTATAGTATCTAGGCTTCCATGAAGTAGTGATTTGAGGAACATAACAAGTGCACACATACTCTACAACAGGCAAGTATGTAAGTGCCATGTTTGCTTACTTGATTTGCTAGCTGAAGGACTTATAAGAGGTCATGGCTTTAGGTTGTCCACATCACTGAAACCAAACTGAAAAAGCAATACCTGTTTCTATTTAACTGGCTTCTATAAGGACCCATCTTAACACCACTTGATGATAGTTAATATTATTGTAAGAGGAAAGCAAGTAATCACCACAAATTGTATCTAGAAATGAGAAAGGAAATTAATATTTTGAAAACCTAGAATAATTATTGATAGGTAACAACACTGAGCCTCTCTTAGAAAATTACATGTAAAATGTTACTCATTATTTATTTAATGTGCTTTTTTGGTGATGCTACGGATTGAACTCAGGGCCTTCACACCGAGCTACATCCCTAACATGTGTGTGTGTCTCTATATACTGCATATTAACTGAACAGAATAATCATTTCACACCCAAGAAACCCACAGCAAGAGAAGCCTGTAAAGGCTCACAGTTTACTAGCTTTACAGTATTCAGCCGACGTGGCTTACAGAAACATTTCACTCCTGGGACTACGGTGTTTACACGCTGCCATTAACAACCCAATCTAAGGAGCCATGGAAGCTAAGGAGAGACCTGTCCCCCAAGAAACTTCCTTTCTAGTGTGGGGGCAAATTCATACTTCGGTAAGGAGAACTGAATCACCTCTGCATCCACAAACAGCCTCTTTCTGGAACAAAGCAGCCCATAATTTTTTTGTTTGTTTGTTTGTTTTGTTTTTCTCTGGTTCCAGGAACCGATCTCACGACCTTGCGCTTGCCAGGCAGGCGCTTTGCTGCTGAGCTAAATCCTCAGCCCCCAGCAGCCCATAGTTTGATGAGGTCTCTTGGCTGGTTCAGATTGAGGCAAGAGCTGGACGTGGTGGCACATGCCGGTAATCACAGCACTTGGGAGGCTGAGGCAGGAGGATTGTTGTGAGTTCAGGACCAGCCTGGGCTACAAAGTGAGTTCAAGACCAGCCTGAACTGCATAGCAAGACTTTGTCTCAAAAAGACAAAGAAGGAGAAAAGAAAAAAAGAAATTGATGAGAATATACTTCCTCTTCAGGAGAGGGAGAGGAAGTAGGGAACTGTGGTTTCTGTCAGTGGAATGAGAGAAGAAAGACTGAGTGTGGACTAGTCTAGACTGAACTCTCCTGCTAGGGGACCTTTTATATGATTCAGTTGGTCAGCTGGAGGTATACAAGGTGGTGCTGTCTCTGAAGCAAGCTGAGTTAACAAAGAAAGATAGTTTTTCCAGGTGTGGTGGCACACGCCTATAATCCCAGCATTCTGGGAGGCTGAGGCAGGAGGATTACAAGTTTGAGCCTCCCCCCGGCAACTTAATGAGACCCTGTCTCAAACAGTAACAAAGGGTCTGGGGACATAGCTCAATGCAAAGGTCTTGGGCTCAATCCCTAATACCACACACACAAAAAAGAAAACTCTAGTTCTAACACATTTCTTAATATGTTACAAGAAAATATCAGTGAGGTAAAGCATAAGTGAACGCATCTTAGATGCAGGATAGTTCTAGAAATAACAACTAAGACCACTCAAGGGAGGATTATTTTTGCTATTTCAGTCTCTTTGGGGTCAATAGTGGAAAATTAAAGTGACTACAAAGCCGGGGGTTCAGTGCCTGCTGAACAGAGTCCTTCAGGGAGGGCACTGGCAAGCTGAGGGGCCAGAAGGAAGAGCGGCTCTCAGAGGGACAGGAAAGCGCCCTGCTCCTCACTCGTTTCCTGGTCTTCTGGATGCTCGCACCCCGCTGTCGTCTGACGATAAGCACTGAGCATGCCCTGTTCTTTTCCCTCCAGCGAGGATGGGTTCTAAGAAGAAGGTTCATGCATTTGTCCGCATCAAGCCCACTGATGACTTTGCGCACGAAATGATCAAATACGGAGACGACAACAAAGTGAGTGCAGCATGCCTGTCTTTGCCCGCCGGGCCTTGCAGTCTGTGTCCTATGTCACTGCTGCTGGGCCCTGTTTCCAAACAACCTGTGAAGGACCCAGACATGGGTCCAAGTGCAGCTGGACCCCAGCCTCTGAGTCAAAACCACAGCCTCATGGTGCTGCTAATGAGAAGGCCCCACCTGTAATGGTCTTGTGATCATTTTAGTGTTAATGAGTTTGCTTCCCCGCTCTGTTTGCCCACACTTATAAAACTTTCTGTCGGGTCAGATCTGTCGTTATGTAACCTCGCAGTGGGTATCATCAGAATGTCTTGAGTTGATTACGATGACACTGACCCAGCAGTGTGGGAAACTCGTCATAAGAAGTGGAAAGATTCCTCCAACTCATTACCCTCACCCCTGTCCTGACAACTCTTTGACAGGCATAGGGTGTCCTGAGTGAGGGATGTTTTCTTTCGTTTTTTAAAATTTTTTTTATTTTTTGGTACCAGGAATTGAACTCAGGAGTTCACGCTTGCCAGGCAGGTGCTGTGCACCTGAGCTATATCCCTGGCCCCAAGGGGGGGTTTTCATTAGCAAACACCTAGAGCCTCACCATGGTCAGCATTGAGGCGTCTTTAAAGGAAGACTTTAAGGACAAACTGCTCAAGCCTCTGAGGTCCAGCAGTCAGAAAAAGGCTCAGATGCAGCCCTGTGACATGTTCCTTGCATGACCTGGTTTCAGAGAACACAAAAGCATAGAGGATTTAGTATGTGAATGACCCAAACTTGTCTTTCTTAGTCCTAGTTTTAGTCCAAGTGACCAGGTCTTGGGTCAGGAATTAGAGTAGCCAGGATAAGATTTGAGCAAGAAGTTGGGCATGGTGCCTCCTGCCTGGAATCCCAGTAGTCAGGGAGGCTGAGGCAGGAGGATCACTGTGAGTTGAGGCCAGCCTTGAACTACATAGTGAGTTCAAGATCAGCCTGAACTACATACCAATAGTCTGTCTCAAAAAACAAACAAAAGATTTGAGCAAGAGAATGTTTACATCCGAAGTCTCCATCAGATGGAGTCTTACTGGGAACTGATTTTACTCAGGATGTCCTTAGGCCAACTTCTGCCATCGTGGCTGGCCGTCACAGCGCGTGCCTCTAAAAATTACCGAGTGTGAGGAGGTTAGGCCCCCTCTGCTTACTGTAATACCAGACAGTAATTGTGTCTGAGAAGCCTAGAGCCCTTCTATGCTGTTTCATCCCAACTCACACTGGCCCAGGGCCAGAGTGCAGTCATAGGAGTTCCTCACAGTGCAGAGCAGAGGGGTCTCCCCACTCTTGACCCAGGCCTGGTTCTCTCTCGTGTAATCCAAGGCCTTTCTGTACTTAGCGGGGGACGTATCTAAGCCTTGTTTAATAAGAACATGAAGCCAGGTGGTGGTGCATACTCAGAATCCCAGCCTTCAGGAGCCTGAGGCAAGAGGATTGCAAGTTCAAGACCATTCTGAACGACATAGTGAGACTCCCGTCTCAACTACCACCACAAAAAACCCAACAAACAAACAAAAAATGTGGTAAATGTACCTGACTCTTATGTACTAATTGGAACCAAACAGCAAAAGCGTAAATGCTCCAGTCTCCTGATTTTGCCACCACAGGGCTGTGTGTTCTCCTGCAGGAGCATCCTTCTTTTATTCCAAGGGATTCATCCAGAATATCAGCGCATATGCGGAATCCCTGTTCATCCCAAACCTCACCTCCTCTATTTTTTCCAGTTCAGGCCTCAGCTATCAGTGATTTGTTTTGTTTTGTTTTGTTTTTTGGGACAGGGTAACTGAGGCTGGCCTGGACTCACTATGTAGCCCAGACTGGCCTCAAAACTCTTGGTAATCCTCCTGCCTCAGCCTCCCAAGTGCTAGGATTACAGGGGTGCACAACCACTCCCAGTTGTGGGTGAATTTTTTTTTTTTGTGTGTGGTTTTCTTTTTTTCTTTTCTTTTTTTTTTTGCAACAGTTTCCTAACAAGTAACTTTTCTTCTCTCTTTTTTTCTTAGACCATTGATATTCACTTAAACAAAGACACTCGGAGAGGAGTTGTCAATAACCAGCAGACAGACTGGTCCTTCAGGCTGGATGGAGTTCTTCACGACGCCTCCCAGGACTTGGTTTATGAGACAGTGGCAAAGGATGTGGTTTCTCAGGCCCTGGATGGCTACAATGGTAATTTAGCTAATTAACTGTTATCTTTCCTAAGAACCCAGGCAGGCTTTCCTGGAGGAAGAGGTACAAGTATTCTGTGGTGAATAAAATAAAATGTAACCTCACTTACCAGCATCTATGCGCTTATTTGTCTCCATGTTATTATGGTAGAAATCTTACTGCTTCTTGGTGACATGCTGAGCATGGCTTGATCCAGTGTCCTGGGGTCCTACCTTCCTAGGATAATTAAAAGACCCTGACTGTAGCCAGATATGGTGACACATGGCTCAGTCCCTGCTGTGCAGGAGAATGAGGCAGGAGGATCACAAATTTTCCAGTCTAGCAAAATTCAGTGAGACCCTGTCTCAAAGTAAAAAATAAAAAGGGCCAGGAGTATAGGTCAGCGGCAGAGCACTTGCCTAACATGCTGAAAGCCCCAGGTTCAACACCCAGTACTGGAAAAAAAAAACACATAGCTTTTTATAGTGGGGGTTCAACCTATTATCCTGTTTCAGGTTTCTCAAATGGTTTTTTATTTATTTATTTATTTATTTATTTATTTTTTGTACTGAGAATCGAATCACAACCTCATGCTTGTGAGGCAGGGGCTGTGCTGCTGAACTATGTCCCCAGCTCAAATATTAGTTTCGAAGGTAAGTCTTTATGGTAAAGTTGATGAAGTTTAAATAGTTCTGTCCCAGTGACCTGCTAAGGAGCTGTTTCCATTTATTCTACTGTACAATGTGCTGTTCATATTCTAGTGTAGGATTGTTTACACTGTCACTAAAAACTCGGGCAGTGTTTTTGTAACAAGTTTCTAAAAAGCTTTCTTTTCTTTCTTTTTCTTCCTTCCTTCCTTCCTTCGTCTTTCTTTCTTTTTCTTTCTTTCTTTCTTTCTTTCTTTCTTTCTTTCTTTCTTTCTTTCTTTCTTTCTTATGTTTCTTTCTTTACTTATTTTTGTGGGCCTAAGGATTGAACCTGGGGCCTTCACACTGAGCTACAGCTTAGCACTTTTTTTTTTTGTTTTTTTTTTTTTGTTTTTTTCTCCGGTACCGGGAACTGAACTCACGACCTTGCGCTTGCCAGACAGGCGCTTTTGCCGCTGAGCTAAATCCCCAGCCCTGAACTTAGGATCTTGAGCTTGCCAGGCCGGTGCTGTGCTGCTGAGCTATATCCCTGACCTCACTTTTTTAATTTTAAATTTTTTTTCTGTTTTTTTTTTTTTTTTTAAAGCAGCGTCTCACCTACAGCCATACCATCCTGAATGTGCCTGATCTTGTCTGAGTTAGGGTCTCACTATGTAGGGCAGGCTGGCCTTGAACTTGCTTATGTAGCCCAGGCTGACCTTCAACTCACAGAGTCCTTTTGCCTCAGCCTCGTGAGTGCTGGGATTACAGGTGTGTGTTACCACACCTGGCTTTTTTTTTCCATTTTGAGACAGCAAAAGGGGTGTAGCTTAGTGTTAGAGCACAGGCATGACATCTGCATTCCATCCCCAGGACTGAAAAAAAACAAAAACAAAAAAAAACCCCCACCAAATACTCCTTTAAAAGATACAAGATATAAGCTGGGCATGGTGGTGCACACCTGTAATCCCACCAGTTGGGAAGCTGAGGCAGGAGGATTGCCATGAGTTTGAGGTCAGCCTGGGCTACATAATGAATTCAAGGCCAGCCTCAACTACATAGCAAGACCCTGTCTTAGAAACAAAAGAATAAATGTAAAAAGTGTTTAAAAGTCACAGTTTGTCGACTTTGCCATCTTGTGGCTGCTGACTAGAGTGTTCCTTGTTTTGCAAGATTATTTTGTTTTTGTTTCTGGAGCTGGGGATCAGACCCAAGACCCTCCAAATGCTAAACAACTGCTCCACAACTAAGCTAGCCTCAAAGCTTCAATTTTGTAAGTTTTAGGTTTTCTATTTTAGAAGTCTGTTGAGTGCAGATGCCCAAACGTGGTAATTTATCCTGATGGGACACACGGTTGTGGCCCTCTGACTATGGGACATTCCCCCTGGAGTTCAGGACACCCTGAGAATGCATGGCCCCGGGAGATTGAGACAGAGGAACAAGGGCCCAGGAGGTTGATCTTGGGCCTGGTGCTGTGGAACCGCAAAGGCTCCGTGTCGCCACTGGGGTGACCCTTCTGCTTGTTTATCTGGGGTAATAGCGGGTCCCTGGTTCCCACCTCTCATGCTGAGTCCCAGGAAGGAGAGCACCTGGAGCGAACACGGACTCCCACACCCACAAGTTGCCCTGGCAGGTCCGGCGTCCCGATGCCTGGAAGCAGCCTTGGGGAGGGGCCTTGATGACCTGGGTTTTGTGTCCCGGAGCCTGGTGGACGGTGGACCCAAGGCATAGCAGAGGCGCACATGAAAGCCTCCCAGGTGGTCAGGGGGACCAGATTGGGGCCGATCATGGTAGCCCATTTCTGGACCAGGACCCACGAGCAGCCTGGCTTGCCCTATAGGCACTGCCTCCTCACTACAGCAGGAAGTGCCGTTCCCACTCCATCTCTCCTTGAGCCTGCAGAGCCCTCGTGCCTGGGTGGGCAGGTTGGTGCCTCCTGCCAGCCCCAAGACCCAGGCAGTTACTGGCCTTGCTAGAGAAGGGCTGGAGTCTGATGCCTCTGTCTTCCAGCTCCTCTGTCCCCTAAGAGTGCTGTGCGCAGAAGCGCTAGGACCAGATCATCCTTGGTCTGGGGAGCAAGAGAGCAGGAGAGCAGGGAACAGGGTCAAGGCAGCTGCCCACGCCTCACTCCTCCTGTCCCGCAGTGCAGTTCCTGATGTCGCTGGCGGCCTGCACGCCCTGGTCCCGGCTGGCCCCTGCTCTGCTGGGGACGAGGGAGCTGTCCTTGGAATGGTTTTCCTGGATGTCACCAAAATATTTTGAAATGTTCGCAGGCACCATCATGTGCTACGGGCAGACGGGAGCCGGCAAGACGTACACCATGACGGGGGCAACTGAGAATTACAAGCAGCGGGGGATCCTGCCCCGCGCCCTGCAGCAGGTAGAGCAGGCCCTCGAGGGCGGAGCCACGCAGGTCCCCTTTGTCATACAAGCTGCCGACCCTGCACTGGCCACTGCAGACCATGAGTCCAGCCCTCAGAGGAGCTGTGGCCAGGAGCAGGACCAGGGCCCCAGACAGGACTCGTGACGGGGGAGGGGTGGGAAGAGGCTTAGGAAATAGGGGTTCAGGTTGCAGACCGGCCCACACCCCCATAAGCCCATAAGCTGTTTCTTCATTTATGTAAAAGGGGGCGGACAGGCTAATCAGCCTCGTGCTGCCCTGATGGTCTGTGATCCTGTAATTAAGCATTTGGAAATCCCAAACTTACTCCTTCCTGGTTTTAACGAGTGGAATGTGGGCCTCTTCCAGGCTCCCTGGTTTTAACGTGTGGAAGGTAGGCTTGCTCTGGCTTCCTTCAGTGCACAGCCCCTGAAAGAGCAAGGCAAGCTGACTGTGGTGGCACACACCTGTGACCCCAGCACTCTGGGAGGCTGAGGCAGGAGGACCGAAAATTCAAACCCAGCCTAAACAATTTAGTGACTTAGCAAGACACTGTTTCAAAAATTTTAAAATTAATTAGCTCAATGCAAAGGGCCTGGGTTTAACTCCAGTCCAGCAAAATAAATGAATAAATCAAAATAATAATAGAGCAAAGGCAAGAAAGCAGGGCATGACCTGGGCTCTAGGACTGTCAATCATGGCCCGGGAAGTATGAGTGGAAACCGCAGGTCTCTAGCCCAGGATTGGTAAGGAGTCTGGTTGGAGGGAGGAGGCATACAGCCTCCCTGAAAGCACCTGTGGTTTTGACAGCCTTGCTGTGTGGGAAGTGTGGGCATCCTTCTAGAATATCCACCTTCTGAGGGGCTGGGGATTTAGCTCGGCGGCAAAGCGCCTGCCTAGCAAGCGCAAGGTCGTGAGTTCGGTTCCTGGTACCGGAGAAAAACCAAAAACCAAAAAAAAAAAAAAAAAAAAAA